GATTATGTATAATTAGTGTTTCTAAAAGTGCTGTTTTGTTTCAGATGATATAGACATATTGGGCTATAATAGCAACCCAAGTGATACTGACGATCACAACAGCGTTCAGAGTATGAACAGTGATGGAGGCATGGCTATCACCACCAGGAGGCTGCCGCTGGTGAACGAAGTCACTCTGTAACAGAATCGGAATTTATGTTTGTTTTCGTAATTCAAGATAAGAGCACGTGTTATCAAAAAGTGTTGATTCGATCAATCTTTCAGATCATCCATACGGATGGATGATATAAATGATTGTTTGTTGGACATGTTTTAATAAGCTTGATTTTATTTTTGTTTTAAAAAACACACAATCTCTTTATAGATTAAAAGTTATGTCAGTGGTTAGAATATTTCTTACCGGTATTACATCATATAAAGCGTTTTTTTACAAAAAAATTAAGATTTTCTTTTTACTGTGGATTACCAGTAGGAAACGACTGAGTCTTAAGTATATATATGTATATAACTCAAGCGGTACTCGAGAACAGTAAATTCCTGTGCCATTCCTCCATTCCACACACACACAAAAAAACCGGCTTTTTTCGTCTTATTAGTAGGCCTGGCGATTAGGGCGCTCAACTTGCAATCTGAGGGTCGCGAGTTTGAATTCCCGTCATCCCGAACATGCTCGCCCTTTCAGCCGTGAGGGCGTTATAAGGTGACAGTCAATCCCACCATTCGTTGGTAAAAGAGTAGACCAAGAGTTGGCGGTGGGTGGTGTTGACTATCTGCCTTCCCTCTAGTCTATCACTGCTAAATTAGAGACGGCTAACGCAGAAAGCCCTCGTGTACCTTTGCGCGAAATTCAAAACACCATCTTGTTAGTAATAAATAATATTAGATTAATAAACGAAGCGCACTGCCAAGAAAAATTGTAGTATTTTGTGTTAAAATTATTTCATTTAAAATAACTTGAGATATTTATTATAATTTTGTTGTTTCAAAATATTTTAATTTGTGTTTATGTTGCAAACGTGTGTATTTCTTATGCGAATTTAGTTTTTAGATTCACATATATTCATTCAATCGAAAGAAGAATGGGAAAAAATAATTGAAAATGCTGTGGATTTCTCATATGAGGGCATTTTTACATATTAAGAATACACATATTGCGCTGTTAGTGGAGTTTATGGTTGTACTTTTAAAGGCTAGTGTTATAGGAAAAGTATTGGTAGACAGTGTCCTAGAAGCTCCTTGGAATTAGTGTTATCAGTAGTTGATACTGTTGTTATAATCCCCAAATATGAGTGAGTGGGTTTGGTGTTTTTTATATTTCATTAGGTGATTATTAGTCAAATAATTTATCATGGCCCCCAGTGAATGATTGTTGGTTAGTCCTATTAAAATTATGAGATTTTGTGTTATTTGGGTGGTTTATTAGCCTTTTCACGGTAAAATTAGGCTGTTGCATTCAGATTTCTGCTCAAGACTGTGTAGCATAAAAAATCCTTTGACATTGCTTTTCTGTGAAAACTGTAGTAATCTGATGTTTAATAACTGAAATAACTTTTCTTTAAACGATTTTTCAAGGACAAAGAATAGATGTGTGTTAACTATTGTCAAAGAGTATATTGTATATCTTACGAACGTCATAAATGACGCATCCAAAAAAGTCATCCATATTTAGATTATTGTGTTGAACTGTGCTGTGATCAAGATTAGACTTGGGGCATTATTATAGTGAATGTTTTCTATGCATTAATACCAGTTGCATTACGATATAAAAACAAAAGTAGCCCAACAGTAAGTGCCGGAAGTCGTGTGATTATCAAAAACAACCAGACTCTTGTTCTTCCGCGAAATAAAGTTTCAATTGATCCTTGATCAGTATCATTGCTTTCTTGTTAGAGTAAAGTACCATGGTGAAAGAGTACTTTTAAGTTAATTTTTTAAATTTCATTTTCTTTTATTTACGAGTAAACTCTTACAGTTTATTGTACAGTTAGTTTTTACGAGTTGACATATAAATTTATGTTTTTTATGGTTTTATTTTAAATTAACTTTTATGCTTATATTCATATATTTCGTGATTAGAAGGTTTAGATATTAGCAAATAAAGAATAATTTCCAGTCTTTTTTGTAAATAAATGTATCATTTGTTTCCATTGTAATAAACCTTTTTCACGAAGAGTTAAGACGTTATATTTGTTATTTTCAGTAAGTGTACTTATATAGAAGCCAGGTTACATTGTATGCTGATTACCTTGATCAGAACTCAAAAGGCAACTCTAAAACAAATGAAACCAATTCTTTGTAATAAATTGATTAGGATTACTTAACGTCAGAGATCAACACACAAGAAAAAATAAAATCTGTGATGATTAAAGCGCATTTAATCATTTGTTGGGTACTCTTGTTGTTAAAGAACTGTTACGTCTCCGTTTGTTAATTAACTTTCCGTAACTTCGTTCCGACGAAACTTTAACGACACAAGTCTTTA